CGCACGCACAAAAGTTCCACCGTAATTTTTTTTTTTAAATACCTACTGCAAGCCAAGATGTTTCGTGTTCTAGTTTTAGACAAATTTTTTTCTGGGCTACTCTTTTGTATAGTACTAGTTTGTCGCACGGGCATGATTATTTTGAACGTTATATTAGCGTTTTTAATATTGATATGAGTTTAGTGTTTAAAGAAAAAACGATTCAATTAGTTATAAAAATAATTATTTGAGGTAAGCTATTTGGAATATTAATTTTGAAATTGAATGATTCAATATAGTAATGACAAAAACGAACAATTTAGCTTTGTGCAAAGAAAAATAGTAATTTCCACCAGTAGAGAAAATCTGAAATAATTGTAAATCAAATAAATTTATATTAAAAAAAATTTGAATAGAATAAAGCTTCTCATTTGAAGGAGAGAAAAACAGTAATTGAAAAAATTAAGTTCAATCATAAAGAGAAATGAATTTAAAAACAAAATTGAATTGAAGAAATTATCTATAATATGAACAAAAAATTAAAAAATAAATTAATCAGTAATTTCTACTAATAGAAAAATTGAAATAATTTTACATTGAACAAATTTATATTGAAAAAATTTTAAGTGGAAAAAAATTTGTCATTTGAAGGAGAGAAAAGCAGTAATTAAAAAAATTAAGTTCAATGGGAAAAGAATTTTAAAAAATTTAAATAGAAAAAATTTTATCTATATTATAAACAAAAAAATTTAAAATTAAATAGATAAATAAAATAAATTTCCGTCCATTAAAACACTCCTTTCAAAAGGAGAGAACTCTCATTTTCAAAGGAGAGACAATATCTTCGTGAATGGAAAGATTCTCTCCGTCCAAGAAGAGTATTTTTTTTCCTTATTTTTTATTAAATTTTTTTTTCATATTACGATTTTTTTTATTTTGGATTTAAAATTCTTTTTAATTCTTTTTTCTTTATGATAAAATTTATTTTTTTCAATTTTAATCAAATAATATTTATATATTCTTTGTTTCATTTTTGTAACATTAATTTGTTTAATTTTTTTTGTTTAATTACATATATATTTTTTTAAAATTTGTTTTGTTCATATTATCAATTTCTTTTTCTTTTTAATTCTTTTCTCTTATAGACTGTGAACATTTTCTCTTCTTAAAGAAACCACAAATTGATGATACATACGTTTTTAAACTACTGAACAAATCAATAATCCTCTTTACAAATGCAAACGACAACAAAACTGTAAATACTAGTAATTGGACCAAAATGACTGCAAACATGCCCAAAACAAACTCTTGTAATCATCATTAAATATAAAAAAACAATGATCGAAAAATTTAAGACTATCAAGGAGATAAGGATAAAGAAAGAAAGACCTAGCTAATTTTTACAGACTAAAAAAAAGTATATTACATTAAATAAAGTCGAAAAAAATAAGAAATAAGTCCACAAGAAAGCAAATATCAAACAAAAACATAAATTTCATAGCCATATCAAAGAAAAAATAAACTCCAGTTAAATTTTCACGTATATACAGAGACAAGAACATACATCACATTTAGGTAAAGGAAGATAAGTCAAGCTAAATTTTCATCTATACATAGAAATAAAAACTACATACCTTTAATAAATTTTAAAAAAGTAAAAAACGGAAATACAAAAAAAAAAATTGCAAGAACATACTCAAAGATAATCGTCACAAATTCTATGGTTTTCTTCCCTACGATTAATATGAGGACTGGGCGATATTTTTTTCTCACAAAAAGAAACAGGAACTTGGAGATTTTTTTTTTGGTACATGAAAGCTAATAGATTGAATTGAAAGATGGAAAATGAATGACTTGAAAGAGTGATAAATGGTAAATTATTTTATATTTTTTAATAGTACAATAAAAAATCAAACCACTTTGACCAAATTCATTTCAAACCAGTTGAATGTGAAAATGTATATAACAAAAATGAACAGTCCAACTTTGTGCAAAAAAATCAGTAATTTCCACCTTTACCAATTGAAAAAATTTTATATATAAAAAAATTAATATTGCAAAAAATTTTCAATAGAAAAAAAATTCTCATTTCACAGAGAGAAAAGAATAATTGAAAAAATTAAGTTCAATCATAAATAGAGAGAAAATGATTCATAAAAATTTTAAATAGAAAAAAATTATCTATAATATCAACAAAATAAATAAATATTCCACAATGTAAAATTTTTTTTGCTCTGTGCACGGAATGAATATTCACTCTGTGCATGGTTTTTTAAATAAATATTTAGATATATTTAATTTTTTTAAATTAAATATCAATAAAAAGATTACACTATCTAGAATATAAATAATTACTTATAAGTAAAAAAATCACTTCCAATTAATTAAAAGTAATAAAAAAATTATAATTGTAAAAGCTACTTATAAATAAAAAATATTAACTTAAACATTTTTAAGTAGATTTTTAGATAAAAATTAAATATTAATAAAAAATTTGCTATAATTAAAAAAAAAAGTGCATGGGTCTCCATGCACGGAGCTTTAACACTCCCTGCACGTATACGTTTTTTTTTTTAATTATAGTAATTTTTTAATAATATTTAATTTTAAAAAATTAAATATGTCTAAATATTTACTTAAAAATGTTGACGTTAATATTTTTATTTATCTATAAGTAGCTTTTACAATTATAATTTTTTTATTACTTTTAAATAATTTGAAGTGATTTTTTTACTTATAAGTAACTTTTTACATATTAGATAGTATGATCTTTTTATTAATATTTAATTTAAAAAACTATTTATATCTAAATATTTATACTTAAAAAAATTTTAAGTTAATATTTTTTTACTTATAAGTAACTTTTGCAATTATAAGAGAATGAGGGATTAATATTTTTTTCGTATAAGTAGTTTTTACAATTATAATTTTTTTGTTACTTTTAAATAACTTGAAGTGTTTTTTTTTACTTATAAATAACTTTTTATATTCTAGATAGTGTAATATTTTTATTAATATTTAATTTAAAACACTAAATATGTCTAAATATTTATACTTAAAAAATTTTAAGTTAATATTATTTTACTTATAAGTAGCTTTTACAATTATAAGTTCGTTTTATTTTTAAATAACTTGAAGTGATCTTTTTAGTTATAAGTAAATTTTTACATTTTAGAAATAAATAATAATTTTTATGTAAAAAATTATTTTTAAAAATATTATTACTAATAAAATTATAGGATATGGTTGATAGTTGATAACGTGAGAAAATGAAGAAAAAGTACTGTGTGTCAGATTCAAAGCATGTAAACTGCAGGTAAAATAGAAAACGACTTTATTTTTACTCCACCAATTAAAAAAAAAGCTACAGCGTTACAAAATATTATTTAAAAAAATATTAGTACTAATATAATTATAGTACATGGTTGATAGTTGATAGCGTGAAAAAATGGAGAAAATAGTATTGTGTGTCAGATTCAAAGGATCAAACAAGTTTCAAATCAGTTCAATGTGACAAAAATGAACAATAAGATAAGGAGGGATAATATAATAAAAAAAAATCAAAACACTTTGACCAAACCCATTTCAAACCAATTGAATGTGAAAACGCATGTGACAAAAATGAATCGTCCAACTTTGTGCAAAAAAAGCAGTAATTTCCTTCTCCACCAATAGAAAAAATGGAAAAAATTTTAAATAGAATAAAAATTCTCTATAATATCAACAAAACAAATTACAAAATAAATAATTAAGAAAAAAACTTCTCCCCATTGGAGAGGATTCTCACATAGAGTTTAGAAAGAACACTCTCCTTTCACGGAGAGTTTCACTCCTTGAACGGAGGGAACCTTTCTTTTGAAAAGTCAAGAGGAGAGACCATCTCTCCTTGGATGGAGAGGTTCGGAGAGATTCTCTCTGTTCACGGACAGATTTTTTTGTCTCCCTTTTTTTAAGGAGGGATAATTTTGTTCATACGATATAAATGTCTTTTTAATTCTTTATGGTAAAATTTAATTTTTTTTTCAATTTTAATTAATTACATAATATTTATATATAATTTATTTAATTTTTCGAACTTTATTTTATTTTATTTTATTTTATTTGTTCACTTTGGTTTAATAAAATAATCTTTATACATTCTTTATGATAGAACGACATTTGTTAAATTTGAATTAAATAGTATTTATTTTTAATTTTAAACGATAAGGAGTTTAATTTAAAAACTTTATAATAAATTTTTTCTATTTTTGCCTGCAATTTCTTTTTTTAATAATCTTTATATTTAGTTTCGTTTCTTTATTATAAATAAAGGGAAAAGAATTCACAAAAATTTTAAATAGAAAAAAATTTATCTATAATATCAAAGAAACAAATTACAAAATAAATAAATTAGGAAAAAAATCTCCACCCATTAGAGAGGATCACTCCATCTCACATGGAGGAAACTCTCCGTGAAAGGAGACGTTTCACTCCTTTGAAAAGGAAATAACTCTCCTTTTGGAAGGAGAGACTCTCTCTCCGTCCACGGAGAGAATTTATTTATTTATTTTTATTTTAAGGAATGATAATTTTGTTCATATTAGATTTCGATATAATATTCTTCTTAATTCTTTTATGATAAAAAAATTAAAATTTTCAATTTTAATAATTAATTAAATAGTATTTATATATTATTTATTTAATTTTTGTAACTTTCTTTTATTTTATTTGTTTAATTTGGTTTAATAAAATTATATTTATACATTCTTTATGATAAAACGACATTTATTAAATTTGAATTAAATAATATTTATTTTAATTTAAAAACTTTATAATAATTTTTTTCTATTTTTGCTTGCAATTTTTTTTAATAATCTTTATATTTAGTTTCATGTCTTTATTATGTAATATAGTATTAACTTTCATAAAGTGAATTAGTGTGTAAAAATTGAGAAATATTTAAATGGAAGTGACATTGTAGTGCAAATGATGAAATAGCGTGTGAAAAAATGCTACAGTGTGATTGAATAGAATAATTTACTCTGCTTCTATTTTGCATGTGCTTCTCTTCTACTTTTTCCCATCACAAAACTTCAATAGTTCAATCTACGTTTACCGCTTTGAAGCCTAAACTGATATGGAATCCCATTTATCCATTTAATGGATTCATGATAATGAGGTAAAAAATAGTTAAGGTTTGATTTTGTAGTTCTAGTTTTATGGAGAAAAATATTATTTTTTATGAATTAATTTTTATGTGATTTTTTAGTGGCATCTCTGATAATGATTTTTGAAGAAATCTGAGATATAAATCCAGTGTTTGAAGAAGAAAGACACAAAAAAATGGCACCAGAAAACATTTGGCTTTCATTTTCACTGCCGTCATTGGAAATGATCGACTCTTGCTCGCTGGCTACTATGGAACTTGCACCATTTGAAACCTCTTCCGCCGCCGCCTCACACCACCTCTATAGTTTCGCCGATAACTTCAATGCCAATGGTAATTAAATATACTCATACACATACAACTCCTTTATCTATCCGTATTATCCAATATTTGAAAATCGTATTAAAATCTCGACTAAAACTCCACTTTTTCTGTTTGGTGAAAAGGTTGGAAAAGATAGAAAGTGCAAACTTGTTTCTGGCATTTCCGTCGCTACAATTTTTTCTTCGAAACTGTATATTTACTCACACCAGTGGATTTTTTACTGCACTCTACTATTATTCAATTAATTTTTGGCATATTGCATTCAATGTTACAGCTTCTCCTTTATTTTTTTTCTTCTCTTATTTTCATTGATAGCCCAGTAAATTAACCTTCATTATGGTGACCCTTAATTTTTTATATTATTATTATATGCTTTAGGATCGTATAATCAGAACTCACGAGCCATATACTCAGAGGCTGAAAACCATCAAGCGAAAGAAAACAACTCCATCAATTTCACTAGCTACATGGACCCATATATGCACCAAAACATGCAGCCACAGCCTAAACTTGAGGATTTTTTTGGAGGCGACTCGACGGAGACTCAAGATTCATCCCTAACTCACATCTACGACCACCACCAGACAGGTGGCGACGATTCCTACTTTAGTAATAATGAGCAGCAAGATCTCAAGACTATTAATGGGTTTCAAGCCTTTTCCACGAACTCGGGCTCGGAGGTTGATGACTCGGCTTTCGCGGGTCATACTCAGTCTCCGGTTGAGCCAGGGATCGAGTTGGTGGCTCACTGCCCCATTACTGCTTCTGCTTCTGCTACCAATACTAATGCTCTATCCTTGGGTGTTGATGACAATGCACAATGCTCTGAGAGTAATAATAAAACCATTGTTTGTGTTGACTCGGAGAGGAATTGTAAGAGAGTTACAAATACTTTTGGTCAGAGAACTTCCATTTACAGAGGCGTCACAAGGTATCATTTCTATTTCATTTTTTTATTTACATTTTTTTATCATTATACTGATACATTAATTTTTTGACTGATACAGACACAGATGGACAGGAAGATATGAAGCGCATCTATGGGATAACAGCTGTAGAAGGGAGGGACAAGCAAGAAGAGGACGTCAAGGTACGACTTTTAATTCTAAAATTTCTAAATTCTGACGAGTACTCAGGTGGCAAAGGACAGAGCTTTTTCTTGGCTTCAATCAGACTTTTATGATGATTGATGGATTGATCAATTGGCCGCCATTTTGTGCAACTATACGTGTTTGTTTGATAGAGATTTTGATAATCGAGTTTTTTGATCATTAGAGATAAAGTGGATTCTATCTGTGAGAGAAAAATTTAAAAATGACGACTGAAATAGTAAAATAACGATCAAAAATTGATTTTAATTAGTTTAAAATCCTTATCAAACAAGCCCTAGGTGTTCGTAGTGGGGTAATCGTAGGGGTGTTTTCTTTACATTCTTTGATTATTCCTTGGGGTTTTATCCCCTGGTTCATGAAGTTGTCCTTAAGAGAATAAAATTTCTTGGGGATAATATATTTATATACCTGAGCTAGTCTGAATGCTAGGGCCTGAAAACCCTGAATTAGACCAGTCTTTCTCTCTTTACTGCACATAGGACGCAATGGGTTTGACCAAGCTATCACTTTCCCACCTTATTTTGTGGGTTCACACTGTTAAGGGAATATAATCCCACATCGGTAAAATACCGAAATAATGACCAATATATAAAGAATTGGAACACTCCTCTTAACAAGGTTGACCTTATTAAGATGGACCCCAAGTCTTGACATGGTATCAGAGCCCATTAAGCTCCAACGAGTGATTCGATCCGATTAAGTCTCTAAAAATGAGCACATGGATTTCAAGATTGGTCTGCTCAAACGAGCCACCATCTTGCGGGGGCATGTTAAGGGAATATAATCCCACATCGGTAAAATACCTATTTATATACCTGAGCTAGTCTGAATGCTAGGGCCTGAAAACCCTGAATTAGACCAGTCTTTCTCTCTTTACTGCACATAGGACGCAATGGGTTTGACCAAGCTATCACTTTCCCACCTTATTTTGTGGGTTCACACTGTTAAGGGAATATAATCCCACATCGGTAAAATACCGAAATAATGACCAATATATAAAGAATTGGAACACTCCTCTTAACAAGGTTGACCTTATTAAGATGGACCCCAAGTCTTGACATGGTATCAGAGCCCATTAAGCTCCAACGAGTGATTCGATCCGATTAAGTCTCTAAAAATGAGCACATGGATTTCAAGATTGGTCTGCTCAAACGAGCCACCATCTTGCGGGGGCATGTTAAGGGAATATAATCCCACATCGGTAAAATACCGAAATAATAACCAATATATAAAGAATTGGGACACTCCTCTTAACAAGGTTGACCTTATTAAGATGGACCCCAAGTCTTGACACACACCCTTTCTTATTTTAATAATATAATCGCATTGTATGTTCAACATGCTTTAGGACTATAAATTTGCCCAAAAGGAGCCAACCTAATCTTGTTTATCCCCTCCTTGATTTATTAATCTAGTGTTCTTATAATATTCATGAGCTGATTATGTAAATATTTTAGAAAAAAATATGTTTGTTTGGGAGGCGTGTCATTAAAAAATAGAAAAAAAATTATGCGTAAAATTAATTGAGAGAATTCGTGATTGAAATGGAGGTTGAAGAAAAATGATTTTCAAATAAGTTGTGCCAAACAAACCCTAAGTCATTGTAAGTTAATAACTGTGCCTGCTAAAGTGGGAGAAATTCATAACTTTGCATATACTCGTAAATGATATGGAATGATACGAGTACACTGATAATATATGGGACTTGTTTTACGAATTTGTGTCTTTAAATTTCTGAACTGCAATAAATGGACACTGATGTTTATGTAAAATGCACATTTTGAGAACCCTAAAATTAAAATTATTAAATCCTTTCTATAGCAATGTAAGCCATTTGGTCATTGGATCGCTCCGAATGAACCCGTTAAAAGGATAATGTCAAAAAGTTGGGAACACGTGGGTGATATATTATCAGCTCACGATCGTTATATTGGTCAACCCAAATAGAGTCAGGTTCCATCTTGATCTTATGTCAATTGTGAAACAAAGAAATCTTGCGTGTACTTACATTCAAGCATATGGCTTTTTGATTTCTTCTGTCTGTTCTTTTCGAGTATGAGTAGTACTTGATTGTATACTAACGCTTGTGCTTCTTTTGCATGACATTTTGGATTGTATTTCTTGGTGGCTGTTCAAAAACAAAACTATATTCTGCAGTGTACTTGGGTAAGCAATCTCAGAGTTAGCATATCGACTCCTATGCTTTCACATTTGTTGTGATGTCAATAATTTTGATGGAATATACTTGATGTATAGGTGGATATGACAAGGAAGATAAGGCAGCAAGAGCTTATGATTTAGCAGCTCTGAAATACTGGGGCGTCACCGCCACCATCAATTTCCCCGTAAATAATCTTACTCCTTGTGCTAATTAATTTGGGCGTGTTTGGCAATTGTCATGCAGTGACAGACTTGACGAGGCAGTTCGGTGGATAAGATTGTTGCTTCTATTTTCTTCAGTACTATCTATCTATAGTCTTCTAGTTCACACTACCGAACATAAATTGTAATTTGTCTATTTGCATTTTCTAGGAAAAACATGAACTTTAGTCTAACAGGAGATTTCTCCTTGCAGATCGCCAATTACACCAGAGAGTTGGAGGAGATGAAGCACGCAACTAAACAAGAGTTCATTGCCTCCCTAAGAAGGTTTGCATACTGTGTCCATTATTTATTTTGCAGATCAACAGCCTGAAATATCATGGAGTAGCTGAACTTATTTTGCTGCTCCGTCATGTTTCTTTCTCATTGAACTGAACTGAATTTCGATGACACATTCAGGAAAAGTAGCGGTTTCTCAAGAGGAGCATCAATTTATAGGGGCGTTACGAGGTCTGGAACTTGTATCGAAACTGTAGTTTATATTGTCTTCGTCATAGATCTTACAAGACATGTTTTATAGGTTTTTGCAAGAACTACCAAAGTTTTATTTGTTCTCACAAATTAATAGCTTAGTACGCAGGCATCATCAGCAAGGTCGATGGCAAGCAAGAATTGGTCGTGTTGCAGGGAATAAAGATCTCTACCTTGGAACATTTGGTATGCTTCACTTTAGTTCAAATTTCTAGTTGAAAACCTAATTCTTTGCTCTTTGGAAGAGTAGCCTTCGTGCAAGTCCGATTTTATTTTCATTTTAATGACAGCTACTGAGGAGGAAGCAGCAGAGGCATATGATATAGCTGCAATAAAGTTTAGGGGAGTGAACGCTGTGACCAATTTCGAGATGAGTCGTTATGATGTGGAAGCCATTGTCAAGAGTTCCCTCCCTGTTGGTGGGACAGCCAAGCGCTTGAAACTCTCACTTGAAGCTAAAGAGAAATGTCCTACTAACGCTAACCTGCAAATACAGTCGAGCAGCAACAGCATCAACTTTGCGCCCCTTAAGCAGTCTGTATCCACCGTTCCACATGGAATACCATTTGATGTCAATTTCTTCCACCATCTCCATCCCACCAACGCAGGTGTCTCCGCTGCTGCCCCAACCGTGGTAACTCCAATGTGAGCTGATTTTTTCACATGGCCTCACCAATATCGTACGAATGGTAACTCTTAGGTGCTGTAGGCAGTAATTTCTTTTAAGCTGACCTTCAGCTAACCCAGAAATATATGGTACTGCTAATGAAATGAAGAATAAAGTTTTTGTTTTACTAGGTAAAAGCTGGGATGCTGTAAGTACTAGCTTCTCTTTAATAGCTTTGGTTAGATATATGCCCTGAACTATACAAGAAAACTCAGCGGATATGGAAAATTTTTCGAATGGTTTTCCATTTCTCTGAGCTGATCCTATGCTGTGCTGTGCTGCATTCAATTAATTTTGGCTTGAATGGAAAAAAATCATGCAAATGAGTTAAATTTTCTCATATGGCTTCTAGTCGGATGCTGCGGTTTTAACTCCAATAGTTTTGTTCAGTTAGTCGAGTGTACGGAATATGTGAATAATCATAAAAGAATGTTTATTAGTTGTTCTATTTAGTCAGAGACGAGTGCACGTGACATGCTTTGAATGATAGACTTTGACATTTAACACAACTAAAAGAACTGTCTAGTAAAAGATTAAATTAAAGAAAATTAGTATTAAATTTTGAGAAAATTACTTATAACCCTACAATAAAAGATTAGTTTTCATAAATAAGGGGGTTAAGTTTAAAATTCAAATTTTAGGTTTTAATTACAAATTATTAATTTAATATTGTATTAAATAAATATATTACTAATAATTCAACCCACCACAACGAATCCCTAGCTCCCATGCCCACCACCAACTCTTTCTCTCTTTACATCTTGTTCCCCTTTCTCGATTTATATATTTTGTATATTTAACTCCGGCAACCTCCCACCTCAACGACACTGAGACCTAATGATGGTGACTCACAATGCACGATGAGGCGTGCCTTCCACTCATCGGCTGGCCTTCATTCCACCACCTTATACTTGGATTCTTTGCTGGAGCAACATCATCAAGTCTTTCATTTTTACCTCTCGTACCTCAAGATCTATCACTTGCGCTCCTCGCTTTTCCGGTTTCGCCATCGTCGAGATTGGAGTCGACGATGAGGTACAAGGAAGTGCTAAAATAGTTGAGGACAACATCATCGGTGGATTGGAATCCACAGTGAGGTCTAAGGAAGTGCTAAAATAGTAGAGGACAACATTGTGGCTCAGTAAGTGGAAATATGTTGATGAAGTATAATCATCGATTTATAAATTATGATAAATTGTATTTGGCAAAATTGGAAAATGGTGGTTTTGTTGATGGTGGAATTTGGGAATTCGTGCTTGGAATTTTGGGAATTTTGTGCTTGGAAGCCATCTTGTCTTGTAGCGCAATATCCTATGAAGAAGCTCGCTAGGTATACAAGAGCCCTTCGGTGTGAAAAAAAAAAAAGTTTGTGACATTAATTTGGATCTCAATTTAGCGCCACCAATGGTGGATAAGCAGGCAGCTCCCCTAAGTCAACGGCGTTACACCATTGGGATACTTTTCTAATTTGTGGGTAGTTCTGTTGGTGGTAATGATGGTTGGTGTTTGTGGAAGTGATGGTGATGGTGATTGTGATTGTTGTTGTGGATTTGAAATGAAGGTAGATTTGAGTTGAAGGTGATGGTGATGGTGATGGTGATGGTGATGGTACATTGAAGTGGTGATGGTGGTGGATTGTGGTTAAAAATGTCAATTTGGTTTGTAGCTCGAGTCGCTCGTGGCTCGGTTCGAAAAAACCTTGGGTCAGCTCGAGCTTGAGTCAGCCAGGGTAGGCTCGTATAAAAAAATTAAAGAAGATGTAGGTGGTGACAAGCTGCATGTGTTCTATTAATAAAAAAATAAACAAAAATGTGGCCTAGTTTTGCTCGATAAGGCCTGAATCGAAAGCTTGAGTCGAGACTAGATTTCTTAGCCAAGCTTTTAGCTCGAGCCCCAAAAAAAGCCTGTACCATTTTACTCGAGCTTGAGCCTCGAGTTTCAATTAGGCTCGTTGACATCCCTAATTGTGGTGTTGGTAATTGGTGTGTGCAGATTTATTTATGGTAATCCTCTGTAATCAAGTACGTATTTATTGTGATCGAGTGTGAGTAAATCTATCTTCATTATGACCGGCTACAACCAAATTATGGTTTGCTAAAACAATTAGTTACAGATAACGTAGGTATAGCCATAAGCAATAAATTTGGTCACACATAGCACAATTTGTTGCAAATCTCACCAATTACAATGCAACACTATTGTCACTACATAGTACCCAAAATGTTGTCTCCACCACCACCCCCACCATCACCATCACCATCACCATCACCATGAAATAGATCAACTCCAATACACTTTTATCACCTACAATGCACCACCAACACCACACATTTATTTTCTATATACAGTGCTACCTCACCACTACCACCACCTACAAATTTATTTGTCTGTAACTGTTTATAGAGAGCTTTTGTAGAGAATATTTTTAATTTTTGGAGTTTTCTATCGTGAGGTAAGGTGGGGTCGGGTCCGTTCAGGGTGGCGGTACGGAGAGATTTGAATTTCTGGAGATTTTTGGGGTAGGTAAGGGGTGGCGTGGCATGGGGTAGAGATAACATTATCAGTATATCAATTGATATAGAGAGAATATATTATATTATAATTATATATTTAATAATTTGATTTATCACTTGATTTATAAAAGTTTTTAGGGAGGTTGTTAGTTGTGTGAGATGTTGTTCTTATTGTGTAATAGTGATGTATTGTTTCCTTAAATTTTCAAATACTGCAAATATCACCCATAACCTAAAGTTTATAAGGCTAAAATAGTCAATTTAGAAGCACATTCGGCCCAAACCATCATGGGCCTCTTTTTCGGAAATTTTCGTACCTACAAAATAAATATTCAAGATTTACTATGTGATTTTTATAATCCAATTATTACTTTGAGATGTGGTTAATATTTTGGAAAAATACTATATACCCAATTTAGACTTCATATATTTTTTTGTAGGTGAAATTAATTTTAATTACCCTCGTATTAAGTTGGTCATTTATTAAGATATACATAATTTGCAAAAACATATATATTCATATGCCATCTATTATTATTTATAAAATTTTGGTAAGTGACATATTTGGTAGCACATATATAGCTCACAATTGATTATTCAATATGAGTGAGGTGATTTACATTTTGTTTTTATTTTTTACTATATTTTTAACATTATACTTGAATAAAATTATTGATAAAGTGATACTAATTCTTGAAATGATATCAAATACTAGGTACTATCAAGGCTTCTTGGGAAGCCTGTTTAGTAGGGTTGGGCAAATCTCCTGTACCGAATAGACTGACCCCGACCCGAACCCGAACCCGAACCCGAACCCGAACCCGAACCCGATGGTTCTTATCAAATTAAATACCCGAACGGGTATCTGAATTGAGAACCGAAGGGTACGGTTCGGTTCTCGGTTCTAAACCAAGAACCGAAGAACCGAATAAGAACCGAATCTTTCTATTTTTTTTTATATTGAATAAATCAAATTATTTTAATTTTAATTTTTTCTAAACAAATTAATAATTTCTAAATCCAAATTTTTGGTCCAATAATTTGTTTCATTTCTAATTTTTTAATTTTTGGCCAAATTACCCATTTTATTGTCTCATTTCTTATTCTAATAAGATCCAACCCACTAAATAACCCTAAACACCTACACGAAAGTGCATAACGTTGTCTCGACTCTCGTAGCCTCGCTGACATTCCAAAACCTATACAATCGTCGACTGACGCTGTGATTTCCGCCAATCGAAATTTTGAACGTATCGATCATTTTAACAAGGTAGTCTACTAGTCTCTGACGTTTCAAAATCATTGAACGTGTCATTAGTTGTATTTATATAATGTTATTACAAATGTTAAAAAATTTAATTATAGTACAGAACCGAATCGAACGGAACCGAACCCGAACGATTCCATAATTATATTTGGACCCGACGGTTCCATTTACTAAATACCTGAAATTTTTGGTTCGGTTCGGTTCTCTTTAGAATTGAATCGAACCGACCCACGCTCACACCTACTGTTTAGCGTCCTCTCTAAAGCTCTTCATTTCATGAAACTATGACTTCTGATGATTTTTTTAATTATTTAAAATTTAATTAATTTTTAAAATATGTATTGTAAGCCATCATGGCAGTAATTAGTTTTTGAATTGAAATAAAAATAGATTTTGGAGTTTTCAATCTTGTAAATTCTCGATTTTTAATATTTAAAAACAACGAGATCAAAAACAACACCAAATTCTATGTATTTGTGTGGGATGAATTCCTAAGTTTTTGGTATTCTAAGGAGTTAACTAAAATTAAAAGGTGATCGTGTTGTGGTATTTCTTTTAAATCAACCGAATTTCTATAGTGTATTCGTTTATCTTTTCTACTTATTTACTTATATAAATTGGTATCAGAGCGAGCTTCTTTAATATTAGAGATGAATTAGCGTTCGTGGAATTCAATGCTAGAAGTTCAATTTTGGGACGAAACACTTTTTGCCCTTTTAAATTTGGATGCGGATGATAAAAGGTTATATTAATGGTCCACCTATTTTTGCATTGAGATGGAGAAGTGTATCAATGAAGAAAGCATTTGAGTTAAATCTTGCAAGCAAGTCCAAAAAAAAAAAAAATTGATGTTATATTTGAGCTGATCCAATAATGGATATAAGCTTTCGCATCCTCAATTCAAATTTGAGATTTGTTGGTGAGCATTTAAAAGTATCGATTAAGTTAATTATTGGTATAAGAATGTATTTACAAAGGTTGTGTTTCTAACGGGTTAATCAAATGAGATACTCTATCGTTATGAAGAATTGTATGAAGAACACATAGCAAGGTTCGAGACAAATTTTCGTCGATTGAAGGAGAATGATGAAAATTGATTTTTTAATTATCTTTTAGATAATATTTCTTTATGAATTTGAATTTCGTTTATTTCGAATTAATTCTGAATATTATAGTTTTTAATTTTTGTCAATATCTTTTAGTTTTAGTAATTATATAGATTCTAATTATTTCTTTAAATATTTTAATCTCTTAAATTCTCAATATTTGATATTTAGAATTATTGAGTCCAAATTTCTGTATTCTTCCGCGAATAAAAGTGTTTTGATGCTTATATTTATTTTATTTTTAGGAATTAACAGAAATCATTGTAACTTTGATATTGTGTACGTTTATAATTTCTATCCCTTTCGCCTTGCATCAATGCGGGATCTTTGGGCTTGAGAGGCAAGGCCGTGTCGGCCATGATGGCAGCGGATTTAGCGAGGTTGAAGGCAGTAGACGATGCCTGGGGTGAATATGATAATGCCCAGTTGGAGTAGGACATCTGTCCCCATTGTTTGAAGAATTGAGTTTCTGGGTATCACAAATGTTTTGCAACTTTTAGAGTTAGGATAGGGTCCATATTACGGCCGTGAATCTGGCCCAGCCAAAGAACAAAGTGGTGGCTGCACTCCATTTGTACACTTACTTCGTTCTACGAACCGTTATTGATCCTGACCTTCGAGAACTATGTAGCGATTTTTAGCACCGGTCTATGTTACGATACAAGGATGTTGACTCATTATTTCATAGGACAAGTCAAAATTTTGTTTTGGAATAAGTTGTGCACTGTAGCAATACTTGACACCAGTTTACGTGACAATGGGATTCAGACGCACGATAAGCACCATTATTATTATATATCATTATTCTTATGTTGTGGTGGATACCTACTTTCTGATTTCTGTAATGAAATTTTCCATAGTTTAATGCACACAGTAATTCAGACCATGGTTCTTTCAGAGTCATGAAAATATCAAAAATATCAGAATCAAGCTACAAAAAAGCAAACATAGTATAATGGCTATTTTTCATATTTTTGTTTTGTAATACATCCGTTCTTTTGTCTGCATCTAATTTGTGTTTGCCCCTTCATGCTTGATAAAGCAAAACTTGAAAGAAAACATGAAAACTCTGTGAAATCTCGAGTCTTTCTTCATCCTTACTAATGGCAAAAGATAATTCTGCTGCTGGTTTCATCTTTAAAAGCCCACACAGCAGAAAGCAGACTACTTCAAAGCTTCTTTATATACAGAAAAAACACTGCACCAATCCTTATATGAGAAAGATCACTCCATGACTAGTTCCATATGACGATTTAGGTCCTTGAGATATGTTGTAGCAGTATAATCGTCCAAGTCACACGCATCTACCATCAAAGCTCTTCCTCCCATGGATTTTTGTTTCATGTCTACTGGTTCATTCTCGCCTCCCAATATCTGAACGACCTGAAGATAAGGGCGTTTTCCCGTGTTTAAAGTTTCTTGGCTTCTAATAGATAGAAAGGAATACGAGACAGAGATAATGAAGTCGTACCTTCTTCATATTGGGACGCATGTTGGGCAAGTGATGAAGGCATGTTGAAGCTGCAAAAATGGAACGCTTCATTTCGATAACATTGTAATTGTTTCCTAATTTAGGATCTGTCAATTCTTTGACGTTGTTCTTCTCCAGAAGCGGTTTTGCCTATGCACGAAGGTTGCAAAACTTTAGAGACATGTTTGGTATGTCGTGTTCAATCTTCTGTCACTGTAATAAGAAGAGTAGATGAAATCATACCCACATTACGAGGCTTTGTCTACATGAATCAACTGCACGACGACCTGTTATGAGCTCCAATAGCAAAACCCCAAAGGCAAATACGTCAGTCTTTTCGTGAACCATTCCATGCATGAAATATTCCGGAGCCATATATCTGACACCAATTAACAAATCAGAAGAAGAATTAGGCCAAAAATTAGGATACATTCTGGGAATCAAACTTCGTTTGATGAGAAGCAAATGAAAGATTTTCATAAAAATTCTCCTAGAATTGGCAAATGAAGTTGCTCTGCTGACCCAAAAGTGCCTTCAATGGGGGAAACCACATGATGAGCCCATTTTTGTGGAAGCCATTTTGCTAGTCCAAAATCAGATATCTGCACAACATACAAAATACAGGGTTTCATCCATTTCTGATTACCCGATGAATAACGAAAATTATACATGTATCCTATTCTTTTTTCTCCTAGGATAACCCGATAAAAGAACCTGGGCTTCATAATCTTCAGAGAGTAAGATGTTTGAGGCCGTTATGTCTCTGTGAATTATGCGCCTTTGGCAGTCATAATGAAGATACTGCAATCCTTCAGCAACCCCGACAGCCACCTTATACCTTATTTTCCATTCTAGACTCACCTCAGAACCTGTGATACCGAATTTTCCCTTCATCAGTCGAAATAACATGGGATTTATATTGTTTGACACCGTAAAGCATTTTTAGTCTGAATCCACAGTTGAGCAACATGGTAAATTCCAGGTCCTTATGCACTTAAAAGGTGTTATTAAATCCACATTCTTATAATGATTTTTCATAGATTCCAAATTCAAACTTGAGTTTGAATCTGTATATTAAAATGCCCTGCATTGGTATGATCCATTCTAAATATGATAATCCAACGGCTAAGTTAAGAATTTGAAAGAATAAGTGAAGGATCTGGTAAAAGAATACCACCATGCAGTACTGTGGCAAGGCTGCCATGTGGAGAAAATTGAAGGACAAGGTGCAAATCATTATCGGCACTGAAACCGATTAATCTAGCAGCGTTCGGATGGTCAATATGAGCTATGATCCCAAGCTCGGACAAAAAGTCCCCGACTCTGTCCTCGTCGTTCTTCTTTTTCTTCGTTATCTTCTTCACTGCTACAATTTGACCATCAGATAAGCACCCTTTGTACACTTCTGCATGTCCTCCTTTCCCAAGCAACTTATCTATCAAGATTTAATGTAATAAGTTCAGTCAGCAATTAGTAGAATAATCCTGATAGTTAATTATAATTTATTTTGTCTGTACAAAACAAGACAACAGTGTCCATTTGAACAACTGGCTAACACAGGAAACAAATTGAAGGGTGACTCTTGTTCTGTACTTAATATTACAAACCACATGCAAGTTAAAATTGAAGCCTAATAATTGAAAAAAATAGCAATAAAATAAATTAGAACTCTTTGATACTGACTGCTTCTCAATTATTCTTGAGGTGCAGTACTTAGGGCAATCAAGGACCATGTCTTTATAATCCCCAACTACTGAAACCTGACAGTGTTTTGATCATGACATTACTACGGATTCATTAAACATTTGATCTTAAAAGAAAGTATTCAACATAAACTCTCTCGCATTGCCACTATCCCGGTTAGAGTAGACTTAGCAATGAGTTATATGGAGTGGCAAAAAGGTGGTCGACACCAAATTTAATATGAACAACATCGAACTAACACATTTTGACACCTTTATCCGGCAATGTATGTTTCATTGAGTTCCATATGACAGACAAAGAAAATTCACTGTGAGAAATGGAATTTTTTTAACTTAGTGGGGAATAGGTCTAGTGACTACTTTCTGCTGCAGTAGCTAGAAGATCCCTTAATGTTTATCTGCAATGATAGAATAGTCAAATAATTCGTGCCCACCTAATTTTTTAATATCTTTCACTAGACAGATTGGTGCTTACATAGAAGAAGTTGAGTTATCTTTCCAAGAACAGAATGCTTGTTAGATTCTCCAATATAATAACTATACTTAACTTTTTTTTTTTTTTAATAATATTGTTTAATGCTATTCAGTTATCCCTATCAAACGTGAAATTAAAATATAGTATAAAAAGTCATCTTCTATTGTTTCGTTTCATTTTAGCTACGTTTACTAAAAAAATACCGAAAAGCCCATAAATGATAATATTAATCGGGCATGTTAGGCTTAACTTAAAAGTTAGTTTTCCCCCCTGAACAATATCAGGAGTGGTATGCATAAAAAGTTGGATCATCCTATCCACTTCTTCCTCCTGGTGATGTCCCACTCCAGTCAAAAAGTTTTTGTTGGCCAGAAAAAAAGAGGGCTAGGAAAAGCCCTTTTATTAAAAAAAAGTTGAACCTCAATTTTGAAGACCCTAACGTCCCGTCCCTAGAGTTTTGTGAGGGAGGTAAATCGCGGAATGTGATCCAACAGGCCAGAAAACAAGAGCTGCATGTACACTGCGCCTACAAAAAGTCAAATATTATGTCTCAGGAATCAAACCCCTACACTGCGACTTCTAGCAAGACATGAGATAACCTCACTCCCGTCCTTTGCACCACTGGGCTATGCCTCGGGGGCGGAGAAGCCCTTTTATTGTTTAACAGTGAGGTTGTTGATAACTTGATATCCAACCATAAAAACTTAATGAAATTAATTACAGATGTGACATTGAGACTCAACCTAGCCAGGAGATATATGGACAAGGGTTTTGCGGTCGGCCTCCCTGTTTTTCTAACAAAACCTATGCACAAAGAGCCGTGCTACAATTTGATAGAAAATTTGACAGATGAAAAAAGAATCCACATGTCAAAGTATCTGTCAAACTAACGGCACAGAGCAAAGCCGATGGACAAAACCAAATACCGCAACATGAGAACTGCGACACCAGTCCAGACAACCTTGAAAATTTCATGAAGTGGGATTTGTGCATCAGGGATTTAAAAGAGAGTAAATTTTTCGTCCCCATGCATTTATTCAGTTTTGGTATTTGAATTTGAAATTTATTGACTGCCATATAGGTGTAGACAGGTGAAATCCAATCAAATAGACACGAGATTTTATTTCTATTATGCAATAACTTGGGAGGTTGAATTTCAAGAATTCAATATATTACCACTGTAACACCACAAATAAGATGAAGTTCAATGAAAAGACAAAAACAGAGCATAGCCTTAAAGAAAACAGAGCAAGTAGTAGAAGATATAAAATCAGAACAATTCCATGTGTGTATATGTGTTTGAGCTTGTTTATGTGCACTGAAATAATCTTAATTACTTACCAGGACTAAAATTATCAGTAGCTTGTTTAAGTTCATCATAGGTAAAATTCCTCCAAGAAGGCTTAGGGACTACAACATCTCCACAATTAATGGTGTCTTCTGTACTACGATTCCTCCCCAACTTTCCTCTCAAACTCTTCTTCGAAAAGTCATATCCACCCAACAATGGAATTGTTGTCAATCTCCTCACTGAAGTCCTTTTCTTTATCTGACCCAACAAATTTTTCCATTGTAAACCATAGCCTAATTCCCCAGAAATTCCTCTTTGCAAAAACGATTTTTCGCTACAGAAACTGCTGGTTCTTTCCAGGCTGCTGCTCCTGCTGCTATGATCTGAATCCGAACCTGATATGGGTATCTCCAAAACTCCCCTTGGAGACGATTGCTCTTCCTCCATTTCTTCTTCCTTTTTCTCGGTTTCTGTGCCTTGCTCTTCATTTTTCACATTTTCTAATGATTCTGAGTCAGAATTTTTTTCGTCTTGTTTTACAAGAAGATTGCTTTCTTCCTCCATTTCTTCAATTTTCTGGTTTTCCAGAACAGTTTTGCCTGCAAAAATAATCAATCTTATAAAAAAAGAAAAAAAAAGTTCTAGAAGGAAGATTATCTATGAGAGTAAAACATATAATCTCACGGTACCTTCCATGGTTATGATTTCAATAGTTTCAAAAAGCACCCAACAAAAAGATTTCAAAAAACAGATAAAAAGATATATAATTTACAGAAAAGTTGTGACATGAACATTCTGAAATTCACATCTCTCCCTTCCCAGCAGGAACAGAGAAGAGAGAGACAAAGAGACAGGAAGGAGGAGAGGAGGGGAGGGGTGTTTAAAATGGTATATCTTCCGAAGGTTGATATTCGAGGGAAAACCAGCTTTGTGGTGATTGGAATATATCCTATATTTATACACTAACCTTAATTCTGCAATAATTTCATTTTCAATTATGTTAACGTTACAAGATCAAAATCTTGACCGTTGATTATTTAATTCGTGATTGATGGCGCAACCAACGCTTGCACGGGTACAGAAGAGGGCAATAACGAACCAAACTGAAGGGTGTGATTTTAGGGCATTTTCAAGGGTAGTTTAGTACTTTTGATGGAAATTTTATTTTAAGTAAAATAATGCCTCGTGTAATGAGAGATTTTTTGGGAATTGTTAAGGCCCTGTTCTCTTTACCGTTTTCGGGTCGTTTTCTGTTTTCGATTTTTCAAAACGGTGAAAACGTGTTCTCTTTCCCGTTTTCGAAAACGAAAAAAATTTGTGAAGAAAACACAAAACGACTTTTTTGTCGTTTTGGGCGTTTTCAGTGTAAAACTTGAAAAAATTGAAAACGCGGGAAACACTTTTTTTTTTTTTTTTTTTTTTTTTTTAAGGGGGGGGGGGGGTTTTCAAAAATTTTAAAAAAAAAATTAAAAATTAAATTTTTTTTTTTTTTTTTTGAGTTTAAAAAAAAATAAAAATTAAAAAAAAAAAAAATTTTTTTGAGGAGATAGTGTGGTGATTCTCAAAATTTCAAAAAAAAAAAATAAAAATTAATTTTTTTTTTTTTTTTTTTGGTGTTTTGAGATGGTGTTATGGTGATTCTCAAAATTTAAAAAAAAAATTATTTTTTTTTTGTTTTGAGAAACTAACAAAAAGAACGCATTTTCAAGAATTTCAAAACAAAAACTCAAAATACAAAACTCAAAATGAATTCAAAACTCAAAACACAAAACTGAAACACAAAGAGAACACCCCCTAAAGTGCTGAGAGACCTTCCTTCACAACTTTACTTAAAAGATTTTATTTTATTTGTAAATATTTACCTAAAATTTTCTTTCTTATTTAAAGGTAAAGTAATTCCTTTTTTTTTATTCAGTAATTTGCTGACACCCCATTCTTAAATGAAATGATTTTAGACTATAGTAAAAGTAAGAAATGAATTTGTTAATGTTCATTATTTATGAATTTATGTGTGTGTACGAAGTCATGAAAGATTAATGGAGTAAGATAAAGTGTGTGTACGAAGTCATGAAAGATTAATGGAGTAAGATAAAATATATAAGTGTTGAGATTATATCAAGTAGATGTCATTAATATATGTGTTGAGATTATGTACAGTAGCAAATTTTCACCCTAAAAATCAATTTTTGATCGTTATTATTACTATTTAAGCAATCATTTTTTACTTCTTCTCTCACGGGTAGAACCCACTTTTCTCTTCAACGGTAAAAAAATTAATTCTCAAAATCATTATCGAACAAGCTCTATATCAAGTAAATAAGTTTTTAGCTAAAAATCATATTATCAGTATATTAGGATAAAAGTTGATGTAATTTGTAATTGAAAACTTGATGCAATTTGTGGTCCCGTGAAATATGTTATTGAAAAATAATTTAAGAAAAATTGTGTTTTAGAAAATGAGTGCCGAACATGGGCTAAAAATAAGCAAATGTTATGTTGAAATTATTATTTGACTTAAACTAAATAATTTTTTTTTGGTAACTTTAATGTTTGATAAAATTGAGGAAAATTAGTATTTAGAGTACTTTGGGAAAATAGATTAGGTGCGGTTCTGTTTTTTGTAGAAGAGCTTTTCGAAGAAGATATTTTAGATTAGCTTTCGTTAAAAGCTCTTCTGATCAGACAAAATGTTTCCAAAAAATATCTAAACATATTCAAAAGTATCCTTTTAATTTTAGAAATAACTCTTGACTTTCAAAAAATTCCTACTAAATGAGCTCTAAGTATTGTGTTTAATTTTTTGTACTTTAACAAGTCATTCCAAAATATCTAAATTAAACCCCTATTATTGTTTAAAACTCTTTTTTTTTTTTTAAATTCATTTTCAATCATACATTTTAATATATATATATTTTGCACATGAATCCATTATTTTTCCATACTTTTTAATCACATAGTCTAAAATAATCACTTTTTATAAAATTTATTATAAAAAATATATATCAAACGAATCTACATGTTTCTTGAATAGTGACCATCCTCATCATGTCCACATGATTATGTGTATTTTACTATATATTTGATTATCCCATAATCTAGTTGTGTATGCTTGCATTCGAGGGCATATGATTTTTGATGTTACTTAGATATAAATATCTCAATATTATCATTATAAACAAATAAATATATAATTTGATAAAATAATCAATCAAAAACTCAAGAGTACGTCACTCTTCTTTCATGTGAGAACCCAACTTACCTCGAGATATCTTTATGTGTTAAAACAATAAGTTACAACATTATAGTAGGCCAAAAAAGTGACTGTGTCTCCAGTTAAAGTTGATATCGACAGAAAATTTTTAGTAATTCTTAAAAATGCATGAAATGTTACAATAATAAGTGTCCTGTTATTACGGTTACAATTTTGCTTTTGAATATTTATTGACCATCTATGAGTAATCTATGGCATTAGTTTCCGGCAATCACCATCGGGTATGACTATAAATAGATACGAGTTTACCCAATTCCGTGACTTTCTATCATGTTTATTAAATTAAGATTCAAAGGTAAATTTTGTATTGATAAGATTGAATTTTCAAATAAAAAATATTATTATTGTACCATTGCTAGTGTTTACAATTTTATACACTAAATTATTATTATTATTATTATTATTATTTTGTGTCGAAACTAGGAAGATGAATAATCCCTCCTAGAATTATTATAAATACTTATAATTTAGCAATAGATTATATATATATATATATATATATATATATATATGTGTGTGTGTGTGTGTACGCGAGGAAAATTAAAAGTATCTTAATTTTATAAGTTAATGAACTTCAAACATTATTTCTCAACAACACTTGTTTTGACTTTGTTAATTAGAAACTATCTATTAAAATATTTTTGTAGGAGATGGTAAAGATAGATATTCTGAAGTCGCTAAGGGATTAATATATTTGTTGGATATTGGTTAAATAAATCGAGAATTGAAAATAGATTAAAGTTCGTATCGACTTCGACCAAATATTTAAAAGCTCGACTCAATTCGTTTAGGCAAAATTGTTTGCCACTTCGCCGCTTCGGGGCGCACAAACGGGGATCGACCTGCCCGGTCAGGTCGCGGGGGTCGAGGGGGCAGCGCCCCTCATGGGGGGTCGGGGGCAACGCCCCCGAAAGAGAATTTTGATTTCTCTGCATGTATTGAAGGGTATATTTGGCATTTCGAAAACCAACATCGGATGAATGAGAAATTACGAAAAAGGCATCAACCATTAGTGAATAGACACCTTTTCATAAAGGTGCATTGTTTGGAAAGGGTGCATGGTTTGGCCTCAACCGTTTCGTCCACACCCTTTCATGGTCTATAAATAGGACCCTTTTGGTGTCCTATTCCACACAGTTTGATATGCAAAAACGTCTCTCATCCTCTCTTCTATCCAAAATCAAAATCATTTCATTTATTTTGATTTTCTTTCATTTCATCTTTGGAGTACATAATCCTACGTTTGGTTCGTTGTACTTGTGTTTTGGAGTGCTACAAACACAAGTGTAGTCGTTGTATCTTGGGAGTCGATTGTCGAAATCCGTAGGCACCGTTGCGGGGCAAATTCGACTTAAGGATAAAGAGTCCAACTCTTGCCTCGAATTTTTCACCATCATTATACTTATTTCGGCGTCACTATTCACAAAATTCTTCCAACAATATTTAGCCCATGTTTGGTCAGGATTAGAATTAGATTTTTAATAGATTTTGAAAGAAGTTGATGAAATATGTCATTGAAAACTTGTGGGACCAATATAATATGTGATTGAATCGAATTGTTGAATTTAATTTAGATTAAAATTTAAATTTTAATTGATATCAACATGGGCTTAATAAGCAAACTAATCACGTTTACAGTCAAAATTTGAGGACGTAAAAAAGTCAACAACGAGAAGTTTGATCGTTTAGTGGGTGAACTAAACCTGCTTCTGTTAATACTTTATATTATTTTCAAACCATGTTTATGCTTGACCCACTCACCTACCTCACCATTCACCAAGGTCACATTCAGTTAGAGGAGTACGTTTAACAGAATTCTCTCAAATTCTCACTCCTCTTAGTCAAAAAGGAAAAATAATAATATAGAACGATAAATTAAACGATCTACTACGTATCCATTATACATACAAATGATTTACTCATAAAGCTCGTTTGATAGTGCTTCTGTTTTTTGCGGGAGAACTTTGTGAGAAATTACCTTAAGGCATCTTTCTCTAAAATCTTTCGAGGCAGGCAGACAAAACACTTTAAAACAACCTATTCGAACATGTTCAAAAAGTAACACTTTAATCTTAGAAGCAATTTTGACTTTTCAAAAGTCGTGCCAAACAGACCATAATCTCATTTGAAATCGATGTGGCCCTCATGCAATCTGACATGCTGAACTATAAATAACTGACGGGATAAAGAAAAAACATATGCAATCTTTAATATTTTAAAAGTGATACATAGTGCCACTAAACAAAAGGATTATGTCACGTAACTATAACTATAACTATACTTCGAAGAGTCTGATAGGATTTGGTACTTGAAATTCAAGGTGGGGCACCAACCTAGAGGAGTAGAAAGAGATGGATGTGATGTTATCGCATTGGTAACTAAAATTTGGGTTGGTTGAGAGTTTGCCTAAATGGTTCAGTTGTATCAACCGGTGATCTCCCACGAACTTCTTAGGACAATAAACAAATGACTAATACAAAAGACTCTGACATCAATGTGCAATAAGGGGTTTTTGTGAGGTACAACATAAGATGGATTCTGTGTCATAATCTGATGAGATCATGATTTGGCTTAACCAATCCAATGTAACAATCTGAAATCACGCCTAATGATTCTTCAAACGAGTATTTGGTTTACGCAAATCTTCGTGGAATAACACACATTACTAAACAATAGTATACAAAGCAGCGGCCAATATCTCGTCAGGGCCATTACTTTAGTATGCCATTAGGCATATACAAATGGAAAGAAGGGTAAGTTAAAGAATTTGGCCACCCCTTTTCCTTAAAGAGAATCTGAAGCCTCATTTGATCAACTCCGCATCTATTTGTCTAGTAACGTAGACTGATTACTACTAAACAATATTAAAAAATGAAAAAAAAAATGAAAAAAAAAAAAAACAGAGAGAAGAAGAAAAAGCTAAAATCTTATTAATCAAGGTTCAGTTCTGTCCAGTATTGCACAAAGAAAATGCATGGACAGAATTCATTCTTCATGTCGATGTTTCTAAAAAGGACGATGGATAAGTGTGGTTGGACATGACTTAACAATGCATTATCAATGTAGGTCCAATTGCACATGAAGCCCAGAGAGAAGCCTGTATAATCATAGCATAGGGTTCCGCAAATGGCATTGAATTGGAAAATACAAGACAAACATTTCCCATCTGTGTTTTGAAGCAAGAGGTGCTCCACATGATGTTAGGCATTGTTCAAGGCTGAGACACTGCCAAATCTGCAGAACCAGCTAGGTCAAATTTTCAGTGCGAGTACTAACTAAATTTGGCCAGTCTAGGCATAAATGTCTATTTCAACAACTAGGTCCCGTTTGGTACTCATTTTTGTAAAAATGAGAGTGAAAAATATAGCCGTTACGGGATTCACACAAAAGAGAGAGTCAAATACGGTGGTTTGATGTGATATATAACGATTATATTTTTCATTTAAATGAGGAAAGAATGGGAACCAAAAGCCCCTATTTGAGCCCATTTTTCAAGAATGCATTTTTTCCATTCTCATTTTCAAACACACATTCTTTCATAAAATAATAATACACGTATTTCGAAAATATTTTCTTTTGTTAAATACACATTCTCCAAAAAATCACTATCTTATACTACATTTTTCTCCAAAAATGGGGATCAAACAAGTGCTAAATCTTTCTACCCAAATAAGCTAGTCAGAAATTTGTAGAACTTTCTGGTATTGTTCCCTTCTTCTTTAGACCATTTCTTCCTCTTTATCTTCCCCAGCTACCCACCCTATGATTCTGTTAGAGAATTCGTGGAAATACTTCAATAGTTTAATATGGTAATTTGATCAACTCGGAAATAGAATGTATAGTCATTAAATGGGTTCGTGGCGAATTTATCGTCTATCACTAGTGATGTCTGAAAATTTGCACTGGAAATTATTTCCAATTTATAATAATCCGTCCCCACCCTTGCAAGCAAGCCCTTGGTATGGCGTAGAAGGTTTATGTTTAGTAGCAGTGGGTAGTAAAGTGACTTTGTTACCTATTCCTTTAGGATCAGCGAATTTTTTGGTATTTCATATCCATGCATTTACGATTTATGTCACGGTATTTATACTTCTGAAAGCTGTTATGTTCTCTCGTAGCCCCTTTTTAATACTGGAATAAAAGCAAATCTTAGTTTTCTTTTTCCTTGTGATGGACTTGAAAGAGGGGATGCATGTCAAGTAATGGCACAGGATGATGTCTTCTTATGACCATTCTAGATGTATAGTTCCATTTTGATAGTAATAATATTTCATTTTAGTTAAAAAATGCAATCAAATGTTTGGGGCAATGTTCGAGACAGTATAAGTAATTAAGGAGTAGTAACTCAAATCATGAGAGGAAACTTCGCACAGATTTCTATTACTATTAATGGGTTGCTCCGAGAATTCTTATGAGCATGTCATCTCAAGTAATTCAGTGTTATGATCTTTTATTATCACCATATGACTTTTTTTTCCTAGGTGCTCATTTTGCATGGACTTTTAGGCAAATTAGTCAGAGTTCAACGTGCATTACACGTTATTTTGAAATACTTTATAAGTGATGTAAAAGTAATATTTGATACAAGGTTTATTTATTTTTATTTTTACTTTTTTCCTCCTAACTTCTTTAAAGTTTCAAATCTCATTTTTCTCCTGACACTTAGGTTTGCCATTTTTACCAAATAATTATCTTTTATACTCGGTTCATGTACACTGATGACTTTTTCTCCACCTCAATCTGAATGTCAAACATCTCAGTCCCTCAACCCACGGTTTGAACAAAGCTATTGGATTGGATTTGACGATTGAATGATCGTTTAATTGCACATATTAGAAATGATGTATTTGACAATATTGATAACAAAATAATTATATGACGATGAAAACATGTATTCCATCTGAATAAGCCAATCAAATTTCACCATCAACAAAGACCATTGCACTCCAGGGAAAAGAGGCTAGTGCATGTTTAGCGAAGCTTGATAAATTTATTTATAAGTAAATATGTAAAATCTTAAAATGATGGTTCTTTTGAAGGTCTTAAGTTAGAAATTAGTCAGTTAATAAGCTAACCCTAAATGCAAAGTAATTAGCTTGTTTAGAAATAAAAATAGAATCATTTAAAGCAATGCAAAGTAGCAAGTTAAGAGCCTGCTTGGGAGGGATTTTTTACCTCAAAAAATTGATTTTTTGACCGTTATTTCACTATTTCAACCGTAACTTTTGACTTCTTCTCTCACACTTTTCTTCTAACGGTCAAAAAATCAATTCTCAAAATTTCTCTTAAATGGGGCCTTACTTTTACGCCTAACTAAACAAGCAATAAGAAGTTAAGCATGTCGAGCCAGAAGCCGATGGAAACATAAGGACCCTCATAACAGCAAAAACCTTATGGAAGAACCCAGGGGTTAGACTCCTAAAAAGCTTTTGGTCATACAGATGTCTTGACACACAATGTCAACAAAAAATTTGGTCAGTTGAGGATAAAATTTGGCCAAGGTACTGGAATTGATAGCAAGAGACTCAATTCATCCATTTCTTGTCCACAATGATGTCTTTACTTAAATATAGAAACGAGGCAATTATATTGATGTTTAGCCTCGATAATAAGAGTCAGCCACATCCAAATAAGATGACAAATACTAGGGTGAAGTACTAATCTAGGAGTTTGGTTATTCAGTAATCAGTACCATTGAAGAGAATGTAAACATTATCTTTTATCAGCTCTACAACACAAAGAAGCCTCGCAAGTCAACAGTTAACCTATAATGGAAAGTATAGCAATATGTATATGGTAACTTACAAATAACAAGGAAATTTGATTCGCAAAACTGATTCGTTGCCTGGAATGAATCAATAATTTCACCAGCGTAAATTCAAGGGCAATCATAAACAACCAATTGCAATTCTCAAGGTCACATATGTATTCAAATATTTATAAGCTTGTATATTTGCATCATAAGTTCACAAAGAAGAAAGATACAGAACAACAAGCCTTTTAAACAAAAAAAATTGTAATATAATAAGCCCAAAATTTCAGCACCATATTACATTCAAATAATCTAAGCTCCTCTATCATAAACCAACAAGGATTAAAGAAAAGATGAAGAGAACTTCAAAACCTTTCCGCCAAGCGTGCAGTCACTGCTCTCAGCTTAGAGTAAACCTTTCCTGCAGGCGATCCCAAAATTAAACTACAAAGTGAGTCTCTTGCCACCTTAATATTAGCAAAGGAGCCGAGTATATGAATCTTGGTATCAGCAATCACAATCCTCGTCTTGGTCGCATTCTCTATTGCAAACTTGGTTTTCCCTCCCTTACCACTCAACCTCCCAATCGCCCGGGACAAATGCTCCCCTCTCAGAGTCTTCACATCCTTAATCTCAAAGGATTCGACGTAAAGCTCGTCCAATCGAAGCAATGCCACGGCATCGATTACATCAAATCCGAGCATGAAGGCGTGCACAAAGTCCGCACATTTCTGGAGGTTGCTAATATCGGGGGTATCTTGCCTGGTCTTTAATTCAACCCGTCGGGCCTTGAGATTCATCCGGATGTCAATTTTCATGTGTTCATATACAGGTGTGTAGATTTCCATCCACGCTTTCTTTAGCGGGGTATAGCGATGGGGCGGCACGGAGACTTTGCGGAATTGGATTTGGCCATCGGAAATTTCGTGGGCTTTCAGGGGCTTGAAGTTGGGCTTTTGGGCGAAGGGTACGGTGTTCCTTGCAGCTGGTGGCGGCAGTTGGACGGCGGGTACTTCCATATCCATTCCGGCAGCAGTCTCTTCGCCGTTGGAAGAGAAATAGAGAAACAGTACAAAATGAAAAGCAAGATGTTGAATTCAACGTCTCTCTATCAATCTCTTGTGTCGCAGTTTCAGAAGCAAGGATTTGTTAAACCCTCGGATTGGACGAACACAAGAGACAGCTAGGGTTGAGTGAAGTTCATGCGGCAAATAACACGAGCAATGAACCGGGAAAAAAAATGGTCTGGGCTGGAGGTTTGGCCCAGTTTACGTTTGGGTTAAACTTATGGGCCATAATTTTGGGTCCAATTGAACTCTTCCCTAAAACAACTTTTAGCTACAAATTGGTGACTCTTCTCTCTATGATGCGGCGTTTCGCATGTTTATGGAGGTGTCTATTTTACGTTAGCTGAATGTAGTGTAAGCTTTCTCAATATATTCCTTTGGATTTCGACAGAAAATTGTGTTTTTGTTCCGACTTCTTTCTTACTCAACTCAGTAAGTCATCATCGGAGAGAGTTGATGCGGTTTGTAAATTTGAAAAGTAGACAAAGCATTCTCCTCTTATCATTATTTGAATGTGCTACAACATTTTTATTGAGCATGACTTTTGAGAATGGTAAAAATAGCAATGGTGGTGGTCCTGAGTATAGGCGATCGCCGAAAACACCGTTTTGGTAAGAGCCTCAAATTATGTAAAGTTAATTGGTTAGTTGAAAAAATGAAAATTATATTTTTAAAATTCTGAAAATAGAATTATTGTATGAAAGCATAACAAACTAATAAAAATTGAAAATACAAAAATCTTTAAAACATATATATGGAAACAAACTTATCACTTACATTTATTTATCACAAATATTACTTTCCCTATTTATAATTGTAGACATTTTATCTTCCAAACACTCATTTTTATTTTTTAACCAAGCAAAATGTCTCTTTGTCTTTTCAAATTCCATGTCCAACAATTACCCATCATTGTTTTTTCAACCCAACAAAATATAAATTATTTCTCTTTGAATTAAAGTTTTGAAGATTCAATACAATTTGATTTGATCTCGCTGCTATTGTTACAGCTTTACAGATTTCTTTCTCTCTCTTATTTTCAAAACATACACTACATAGTATATATGTTGTTATTATATTGTTTTGTTTTAATATCACGAAAATAATATTTGATATTTGCTTAAAATACTTTGAATTAAATAATTATTTGTTCTTCTTCATTCAGATGCTTCTTATTTTAAGTTAATTTCTTATGAATTAATATAAAATTAGAAGCTTGTTTATATTTGATCATCATTTTTATTATTTTGTTATACTATCTTTTGTATTCACATTCTCCAATTTTGTACATAAATCACTCAAATGCATATTCAATTTTATTTGAAATAGTTGTAGTGAGAAAATAATCATACAAACGAGCACACCCCTTTGTCATTGCATTGTAATTTTGTTTGCCAAAATTTACTTGTAATTTGTAGTACTGGTTGAAATTTGACATTTTGTTTATTTTATTTTCAAATTTTGGGGCTTAGTTAGCTGTGTTAGATTCTTTATAATTATACTAAACCCTTGTTTGGCATCAATTAAAATTTAAATTTTAATTGAAGTCAAAATTGATAATTAATTTTAGCCATATGTTTTATGGGTTCCAAAATTTTAAATTCACATATTCTATCTACCTCTATCAAAATCTATTAAATTTTTTTATTTTAAGGGTTGTTTGAGCCCTATTTTCTCAAAAAAAAAAATGCATTTTGAAACGATGGTACGATGGAGAATGTATGATTAAAAAATAAGAAAAAAGTTTGGGTTTGTGTATAATATTATTTTATTGAGAAATGTATGGTTGAAATGATGTCAAATTACTGTTAAATAATATATTTTAATGAAAAAAATGAGATTCAAACAAGGGCTTAATCTCCATTAAATAGGTTAAAACTCCATACAAGGAGAATCAAAATATAGGACTCCAATTTAAAATTAGTATAAGACCCCCAAAATATTAGAGTTGACTCTGCTTTAACCTTTACACTTTTGAACTTTAATTAATCTCCAAAATTCAGAAGCAATCATTTACCTCTCCAAAATTCTCAGAGTTTCTCCATTCGGGGATGCAAGATGCATCATTCTTGTTTCCTTTACGTAACTCTAGTTTACTCGAAAAGATATAAATAAACTGAAAGTTGTATTTTGTTGTGACTTATTTATTAACGTTCATATCAAGTCCCATACCATTGAACATTATAAGATAAGTCATCATGTGAAAAAAAACTTTAGCAATTTGTAAGTTTTGAAATTAGATGAAGCATTCTCTACTTATCATTGTTTGACTTTGCTCATCAACATTTTTATTGAGCGGATTTTGAGAAAAGCAAAATTTAGCAACAACATTCTTTAACCTTTGACACCTTAACACCGTTATTGGTATCCATGATTCAAAAGTAAGCATTTATGTCTCCAAAATTCAACACGTGTCTCCATTAAGGCACAAGATGCATCGCTCTAGTTGCCTCTCTGTAACTTGATTTTACTTGAAAAGATGAAATCAAATTAAAAGAGGTATTTTGGCTCTGACCTCTTTATTGACGTTAATATCCAATAATTATAACCCTATATAATTGAACATTGTAAGATAAGTTATCTTGTGAAAAAGCTTTCACAATTTGTAAGTTTTAATATCAGATTAGATGAATCATTCTCTACTTATCGTTATTCGAATGTGCTCCTACAACATTTTTAGAGTTGGACTTTCAGAATAGCAAAAATAGCCACAAATCTTTGATATCTTTGCAGTTTAATTAGTCTCCAAGATTCCAAGGTAAGCATTTACCTCTAAAAAATTTGGCTGGTCTCTTCACTAGAGTGTGAGATCATGGGCAAATCCACGTGGGGTCATGTGGGATCATTTGACCCCACAAAATTTTTTATTTTCCTTCATTTCTTTTATTATTATTTTTTTAGAAAAATAGCGTTTTGACCCTTTTATGACTTACTTTGGCGCACTCATTATGAAATGTCAAATGAAGTTGAAATATTACATTCTCAATACCATTTTGAAGTGTTCATAGTCTAGTTTTTTGCTCGTTAATTGCGTACGAATCGACCAACCGTAGCAAAAATTACGACGCATCAAAATAGGCCGTTTCAAACTAATATTTTGATAATTTCGATTATATGCTAACTATACGGATATACAAGAAGAAATCTCAGAAGGATTATTTAAAGGATATATAACCAAGAAAGGTCAACCTATAATTTTTGAAGAATTATTAAAATATAAAGAATATTTAAAAGTATTCAAAAGATTGAAAAATATAAATATAGGACCTGATTGATAATTTTTTAAAGATATAAAATAGATATTATAAATAATTTCATTAAGGGCAATATAATACTTTTAATAAGAAAGACTATTATGAAAAATAGCAAGAATCTGCCGGCCACCATTTTCAAAGTTGTCCCAAAAAAGTTACAGAGTAAGCACAATAAACCCCAAAAATGGCATTATTGGGGGACGATGGACGAGGCTACGAGTTGGCTCAGAAGCTGGAAGGCCACGGCGTCTGGCGGTTGTGGCTGGGTGATTCGTTCTACTCAACCTTCATCCACTCTCTCTCTTCGCAGTCATCGTGGGACGCCTTCATGCGAGCTGACGACTCCAAGACCAAGACCCAGATCCAGCTTCAGCTCCGTGCCCGCGCCCTCCTCTTCGACAAGGCATCCGTCTCTCTTTTCATCTGCCCTAGTAATCGGTCCTCATTGTCCGCCCCTATCTCAAAGCTAAATCCTAATTGTAAGTTTTTATTTTTTTATATGCTTTGAATCTATGAACTTTCATGCCCAATTCATCCAGCCGAACACGGTGTTAATTAGAGTTTGTTTTCTAGTATCAAATTGTCTCAATCTTGAAATTTGGTTTCATTTTTGTTTTTTTGTATCTTTTAATTATAGAAAATATTCTATTGTACAGAGCTCCAATTAAATTGTATATTTTCAGATGAATATTAGTTAATTTTTACTTTATTTTCTCCTATCTTTTTATTTTTCTTCAACCACCCATTTATGGCTGAATGTAAGCTGTATGTTTTAACGTGAATCAGTTGCTTCCTTTAATTCCTTTCTACCGTCTAGGCTGTGTTTTCATTCGGGTCTCTATTCTTTTCCCCTTAATTTCTATATATGTTTACATGTTTTACAGATTTGGAGTTGCATGGTGATGATGTGTATTTCACTTTAGAAAACGGCGCACAAGATGCGGATCAACTCCAACCAACGGCTGTTTCAAATGCAACATTATTGAAGGTTTTTCAATTTATAGAGTTCCATTTTAATTAAATATGTATTTTAAAAATGAAGTTGGACCAATTTTTTGTACAATTGAATACCATACTAAGCACTAAACCGATAGCTAATTCAAAGAAACATAAACATAATTCTAAATCAATTGTAACTACAGGGACCAACTTGCCTATTTCAAAAAGACAAGGGACAATACTGACATTAACTGAAACATGGAGGCTTTTTTTCGCTTCCTCTTCTTTGCGGGTCCCTGTTACTGTGTCACATGTCTCACCATCCATCACAACCAATTTGAATCTCGATTTATTGTAAGAGTTTACTAGTGCCTCATTGTAAGAATGTTCTCCTCAATCCAAAATAAAATTGTTTTTCCTTCAACCAGTACCTTGTCTATTTCACTGCACAAATTGTATGTTGCTATTTATTAATTTGAGAACATTGGTTGCACAATCATGATTATGTCATATCAATTTATATTGCTGGAGAACCCGCAGGAGATACTGATTGCGGAGAGAATATCTCGAAACAATAAGATTGGAAGTCTGTTGGAGTATGACTCAATACAGGAGTTGTAAATTTAGCTTAGGTGAACGTACTTGTAAAGGAGTAGTAATGTAGCATTGATTGGAGGTATTTGGAGTTATTAGGAATGCTTGAAAGTAAGCTTCTTTTATATTTAGGTTTAGGTATTCATGGAAAGATATATATTTGGAGTTACACAAATGACTAATGCTGGTTGAATTAGGTGGAGTTCCCTAGGTTTGTTTTTTCCCTGTGATTGTTGAATTCTTATTGGAAAATTGTACAGGATTGCTATAATATTGCCTGTGTTTATAGACCACATGTTGGACCATGAAGATACGTCTATATAGATTGCGCCCTTGTTTGAGCTCCATTTT